TCTAGATTTATTAATCATGTCTTGCACTAGGAGCACAATTTCTCCTGTTATCTGAGAAATTATTTCTGATTTCATTTTTTCCAGATCCCCTGTTGTTGCCAGTTCAGTTGGTCCAAGTGGTTGAGTATCAGTGTTCCATCTCATTTCCCTTTGAAGTTGCTATAGGTGATCTGGACGTCTGGTTTTGAGACTTATTTATGTGTTTTCTCATTTCGACTGGGGCTGCGGGGGAGGTGCTCTTGGCGGCCGCATGGATCACCTCCTCTGAGCTGGGAGAGGTGGGTGAGAGGTTGGGAGTGGTGTTAGGGATGGTGGCCCAGAAGCCCCTTCCTCTGGGCCAGGAGTGGCGGGACAGTAGGCGGCCCAAAAGCCCTTTCCTCTGGGCTGGGGCCAGTGGGAGGGATGGTGGCCCAGAATCCCCTTCCTCTACTCTGGGAGCAGTAGGAACAACGGTGGTCAGGAAGCCCTTTCCTCAGGACCTGGAGCAGTGGGACGGTGGCTCAGAAGCCCCTACCTCTGGGCTGGGAGTGGCGGGACCCAGTACCGTGGTCTGGTGGTCCGGTGTCGTCTGCGTCTTTGCAGTATGAAAACAGGTGGCTGTACAGAGGGGCACAGGGTGTGTGTGTGTGTGTGTGTGTGTGTGTGTGTGTCCCACCTAATGTTTTAAATAGATATCTAAGTTTTCTAATGGAGTTCTAAAAGTAAAACTTAAGATACTATGTATCTAAAACATGCTGAACAGTAAAATGTATATATTAGATAAATGATCTCATTTAATTCCATAAGCACTTTTAATACTAATAACCTTTTATGGAGATCTTTATTGAAGGAACAAAAAGAGAGAAAATATGTTTGGAATGCTTTGGCTCCACAGGGGATTTCTGACTCCAATATACATTTTACTTACATGAGGATTTTTTGGAGAATTTTCTCTTGAAAAGTGACCAATCTTTAAGAAACTATGATATATTAGCTCTCTGTGGGGCCATGCACATGCTTGTGTTAGTACTGTATGATAAAGCATAGATCGATGGCAATCAGAGTTTTCCTTAATTTAGGTTTTTCTGTTTTAACCTGGGCTCAACTCATTATAGTGTGATTTATTTTTCTTATTTGCACCCCTTTCTGAAGAATATTCAATTTAACAATCTTGCTGAAGATCAAGTACATGTGGATGAGAATAAAAAGTGGATGTAGAGTATTACATTCTTAATGTTTGGAATTTTCCAGAAGGTCTTAGAGGACAAAAGTAAGAAGAATTTCCCTACATTATCTACACGGTCAATACTTGTACTTATGTGAAGGTATCATAGAGTGGGCCACAGGAATGACTCAGGTAAGTTGGTCCTAACAATGATGCATTTTATCACACTTTAAAAACAAAAGTCATTTTGTGAGTTTCTTACTCTTGCTTTATAAAAGCTACATATGTAAATTTAATAATTTGCTTTTACATTTTAGGAATTTATTTTGTTTACCAACTTTCTGATGAATGAAAAGGGAACATTTTTAAAATCATATTTTCTGAAAGTCATTATATTTTGCACTATTGAATAGATGATATTCAATAACAAGATTGGATTTGGGAATGTAAAAATTGAAGATGTTCACTCAATTTATAAAAGAGTATGGATAATACAAGAAGTTACTGACATAAATTTGATTTTCCTCAGACTCCCTGCTCTATATACAGTGAGAGCTATAATTCTGGATTTAGAAAAACCCCTCAGGAGGGAAAACCAGCCTGTTGTTTTGATTGCATCCCTTGCCCAGAGAATGAGATTTTCAGTCATGAAGTAAGTGCATGCCTGTGGACAAATTCCCATTCCTTTTTTATATAGTTCCATCCACCCTGGGAATGGGAAACATTTTGGAGTGTAGAGCAAATACAGCATTCTTTCTTATTCCAGGTACCAATTTAATAATAGTATTCAATATTATATTTACTGAAATAAATTCTATTTAATTTAAAATACATTATTAGATTTCTTTTTCTAGAACTATTAGAATTTTTATTTTCTTTAAAAAATAATATCCACACCTCCATTTTCTTATTTCAATACCAATCCTGGATTTTAACACTGAGTATTATTAAGTACCAACTCTTCATCTTTTTTGAAACTAGACTTGCTCAGATTGAGGACATGAATATTACACATCCTTACTTTCAGTTTCTAGTATTGTTCTTGACATAGTTCAGGCACCAGTGTTAGGTTTGGTTTAAGGAATAGTTCTGACTTTTATGTACTCCGTGCTTTCAGTACAGCATCATCTCAACAAGTAGGTTTGATGTTCTGCTCTTCTAGAATTCACAAGTAAACAGTACAGAAAAAATATAATATTATTTATGGAAGTCCATGACATAAAACTACAGCAGTGATATACTTCTTTGGTAGGATATCATTCACTTGTCTACAAAACCAATAGCACTAGTCTTGCATGTTTTTAAAGGAATAAAATAATAGTGAATATGACATATTGCCACTGTGCAATTTTCAAATATTCAATTAATAAGATTCAATGTTATTAAAACTCAAAATGTGGAGATTTGGTTGGGATAGGCAAAAGAAAAGTACAGAAAATTAATATTGAAGATTTTCACATACAATAATTATTATTTTGGAAATAGTTGGATTTATGATACAAAATCCTGACACATTATGACCCCTTTTCTGTAAATATTCTAGTGTGTTTTGTGGCAGATGAATGACTCTATTTTACAGCATAATCATCAAGGTTTCTCTTCTGTCTTGAAATTATTGACAATGAATATGCAGTGTGCCATATAGTTAAATTTGGTATGCATTCTTCCTGTAGACTGGATTGATTGTACTTTACTGTATATGTTCTGTGTTTACACATAGAAAAATGTACCCAGCAAAAGCAGTTCCTTTGATGGCTTAAGAAATAACTTTTCTTAATCCACAAGATATAGAAAAGATAAAAGAAAACTCCTACTTTAAAAATATTACTTATCGGGCCAGGGATTTAGCTCAGTGGTTCTGGCACCTGCCTCGCAAACACAAGGTCCCAAGTTCAATCCCCGGTACAAAAAAAAAAATTACTTATCAAATATTTTGCATTGTTAAACATATATATTTATATAATTTTATGAAAATACACTCATATTCATCAAAAACTATAAAAATGGAAAATTAAAGAAAAAAGATAAAATATGAGAGAAGACTAAAGTTGATTCTAGTGAAAAATTAGATAACCCTAAAGATTCATCAAATAGGTAGAGAAACATCACAAATCCATAAAATCTGAAATATGAAAATGGAGTCAATTTCACAGATATAGAGAAAAATTCTACAAAAATATAATATAAATATTTTCACACTAATCTATTTGAAAATGTAATGCAACTCACATATTTAAAGAAAAACTATTGACATAACTTTCCAAAGAAAAAATATAAGATCTTCCCATGGGGTCATGGATATTACCAAGTTGATTCCTAATTTTTTTCTACAATTATCTTTTTCTTTTAAATTCTTTTATTGATTGAGGTAATAAATATTGTTATTGTTGAACATTAGAAGCATTTACTAGCACATCACATCAATTTACTTAATAAAATTGGAAAAATGAAACTTTGGAAAATTCAATTTATTTTATAAAACAGCCTACACTTTGCTAACCATACCTCATAATGCAATTTTTAAAAACAAACTTTATAGGCCATTTTCCATTTTTTACTTAACTCACCTTTCATACTCCAAATTGAGAGATAGTTTTAGGAAGGCTATATCATGACCATATTTAATGTACATACTTAATGTACATACATAATGTACACATTTAGTGTGCATACTTGTCCCAAAAGTATGTAGAATAGACAACAATCTCAAAAGCTAAGAAAAAAATCCTAAAATTAAACATCTTTCAATGATTTTTTAAAGAAAAAATGGTCCAGAAACCATTACCAAAATGAGAGTAGGATGAAAGTGTCTTAATTACATACAGTATATTTATACAATACTAAAGGAATTATCACATAATTTGGTTTAATATTGAAATCAAGAAAAAATAAGCATGATCCACATAATCACTTCTACCTGAAATTATGCTGGAGATCTGGACCTATGCCATATTGTCATAAAATATATAAAATAAATATTTAATGGAAAGAAACAAATATGATGTATTATTTTATGATTATATTAAGGTATAAGGGTAAGAAACATGTAAATTAA